AAATAGCTCTCTGCAACAGCTACAAAGTGCATCGTTAAATGCGGCTTCATCTTTAAACCGCCTTTGAATCCACTCGAGAATCCAATTCGGGAGATTTACGAAACAAAGCATCCTTCTAACGGTTCATTTATAAAGGGGAGCAGTCTTTCTCGCCCGTAGTGATGTGCCATCGAGTTTAAAATTTATTCCGCTCGTCCTCAGCTCAACGATATAACATCCCGTTTCCCTAACAAAGGTAGCGTTACTTTTTATGATTATTCCTTTTTATTTTATTGTTCCCCAAAATGGCGGCCTCCCGCGTGCAGATGGCGGGAAACCGACAAACTTCCGTTGTTCAACACAAGCTCGCGGGATAATTGTGGTTAAATCTGTTTTGTGTATTGTTATACGCTTTCGTGAATATTATCTGTGGTCAACGTGTTTCCACGCTTTATTCGCTCCCGCTGTTGTAACTTCTGGAATTGCCTCCCTTTATTTTACAAGAGTTATAACAAAGGTCCTTTTTTATAAGATATTCAGGCAGTTTTGATGTTGTTCTAATTTACTTTGAAGTTTTTTTTGTTAAGAGCAGAGACATCATATCTGAGTTTGAAATGGCAAAACTAGTACTTACTAATACAAACTAGTACTAGACAAATTTATATATATGTAATTAATTATCCGACAAAGTTTTTCACTATACGTTGGTCATTTTTTGTGTGCTGTTTCATAGGTGTTTCCTTTGCAATGGCGACGTGAGTCGTGGATTCGTTTTAATCCATTGACTAAAGTGCAATCTGTAATTAGATAATGTTTCCACAACACAGCATACTACTATTCTACATTTTATTTTTATTACACATATTTAATAACATGTTGTTATTGGTTTTAGCTACTAACTAACTAAACAGCATTAACTGTCTGTGGTTTACACAACTACTTGTCCCCCAAAAAAAACCCATGTCGATATAGAGCCTAGGACCGTCAGTGTCGAAGTCAATATTTTAGAAACTGTAGCAACGCTTCATTATTTGTTATTTATATACAGTTCTCAATGGAACATTTATTTAGTATAAAAATCGTTCAAAACAAAATAAAAGAAAATTCTACTTCAACTGCGTTGTCCCAAAAAGTCTACAGGATGTACCTAAATACTTAACAATAATTTCTTATGTACTTGTATACACGTATGACAAAAATTGTTAAATTAAACAGTTAGTCCAAAATGGCCAACATTTCGACAGCTAAAAATAACTTGTCTATGAACCTTTTTCGCGGAACCTTCATTGCGTATTTAGCGAAATTAAATTCGATAAAACTCGTAACACTGTCTCACAATGTAAGTAGGTCAGTTATGAAATTGAATTATGTATTTGCTATTCAAGATTTGTAATCGATTCCATTCTATTGTCCCGAACATTACCCATTGTTGCCGAACGTACAAGAACGATTTTGTTTTTATTTCCCATTAAGCGGGGGTGAATGGCTGAAAAGAAATGGTTGTTTCTGTAAGGTATGAACAACGGGTAACTTTAACTGCTGAGGTGTTGATCATGGATCAGCAAATGTTTGGTTATTTCAAATTTATAATCATAAATTAAAACCTTTTCATCTTTAAGAGAAGAAACAGCAATGTTTTAAATATCTTTAAGGCGAACCACCAAAAGCAAACATGGGCTGAATGATTATTTTGATGGCAAGTAACGATCAGGAGTATGTATGTATGCAAGGGTAGTAGTAGTACGATTGAGGTCGGGTGTTCAAATTTCAACCAAAGAGATTTCCCGTTTCCCGATTTCTTTAATATAACCAGGTCGCATTTGTCCACAGCGACTGCCTTACCACCTGTCGTTCGGGGCTTAATAAACTAAGCAAAATGTGGAATATACATCGGTTTTTATATAAATATTTTATAATATTCATTACTGATTTTCAAATTCTAAATGCATATTTTTCAATGTTTAATAACACAGAAAATTAAAAAATTAATTTAAACTATTTCGGTGAAAATATGTACAAATTAGTACATATTGTCACCAATACTCTGATAACACTCCAATTTAACTTTCATTGTATTTTATACTTTCTTCTTCTTTAATTTAAGAGCTAGGCTCTTGTCGGTGCGGCATCCTAGTAGTATTGTATATCATAGGTTGCTGCTGTTTGGAGGAATTGAATAGTGCAGTAGTTTCATTTGTACCTGGTTATAGTAAATAAAGAAACATGTGTTCGGTTACATATTTGTATTACATAACTCTAAAATATGGATAAAAATACCAGGGCATGCATACTTATGAGAGTGGGTAATTAACTAAGTGTGTTAGATAACTCGCAGACTAAATTACTACATATACTTAATTTACAGTTAAAACAAGGTGGAAATAACTATATATATCATTTGGTGATGTTAAGTTACATAGTCCCTAATGTTTAATTTGAGGTGCAGGTTAAAGGAATTTTATCTGGTCAATTTAATTTTATTAAGTACGGGATGAAAACTAGTAAAAAAAAAACCGGAACGTGTACAAATCCTTGGGAACATGAAAATACTCCATGAAGTTCCCTTCTATTAAATTCCGTACAAGCGGAGCCATCTCCTTTGATAAGTATTACCATTGTTGTCCGAGAAATCGGACTGGGAGTCAGCGCGATTTGGGATTATCCCCGAAAAGATTTATCGGTGGACGCTTTACTCAGTCAGCGCAAGTTGGACGATCCGGCTTTTTCCCGGCGCCCGCATGGACTATAACAGCGTTGCAAATATAATGATTTCTTTTATATAGCGAATAAACGGTATATTGTTATAAATTGTTTCGCATTTCAAATATTAAGTAGCTTTCAAGTTCACGGTAGGAACTTCGCCTGTTTGTAAAATCCAAATTTAGTACGATAAAATTCATAAATTAAATATATCTAAACAGGTTTTTTATTCGGTGGTAGGGCCACGCAGCAGCCGAGGCTGCTGCACGAATGGGCAGGCCCGTCCGGGTAAGTACCACGACCTCACAGAAGACCGGCGTAAAGTGGAAGTATGACAAATACTTTCGCGTTTCGTCTGGTGAGTGAGGTAGCCGGAGCCCAATTTTCAAAAGGTTGTCAACGCATCTGTAACCCTCGAGTGTAGCAGATGTCCATGGGCGGCGGTATTCACTTAACATCAGGTGAACCGTCTGCTCGTTTGACAACTTTTCGCATAAAAAAAAAAATATTTGCTTTATTACTTCTCTCTATGATAAATCTCTCATGTAATTTTATGGATTATTTATTGTATTTTAGCCTAAATAGTGAACAGTATTTTAAATGTTATTTTAGGGGACATGCTAAGAAACCGACATTTGACCTAATTTATTTCCTTAAATTGATTTAAATTTCTCACCTAAACCGTTGCGTTTTCTAAAACAATCCATTTTCGTATATTTAAGTAAATAGTCGAAACAACGTGAATAAATACACAATAATAAAACTACAAGCGCACAAGCGGTTAATTTATAAAAGAAAATGCCTTCCGTGTTCTTTGTGATGCGAACAATCGAATTTAAATTTCATTCTTTTGTCGTTGCTGACAAAAAAGGTCGTACCAAAAAACAAGGTAACATACATAAAAGAAGCTAACATACAACACTGGGGTGTAAAAATATAGGTAAAAAAATCGCGATATCCACCAAATTTATTTAAGTAGATCTCTCGTTAAAACTTGTAGAAAAAAGTACGAAAACTCGTATTAATTATATTTCCAGGTCGGTTAGTAATGCTTCTTATCCATCTAAAAAGTTTATATGTAGAAATTACACCTCGAAAAATTTTTGACTTTTAGATATTGTTTGATATTAACCATTTTCTATATGTTTTAATGATATTAACCAATTGAATAATTTAGTGCACATCAAATGAATGGACAGATGAAGGCTGGTACTGGATATATTTGCAGATGATACGGATTTTGTTTATTTACACGAAGAATATATTATAGACAACCAGGAAAATGGTATCAACAAGCGTGTTTTAGATATATTTAAAAGGTAGATGCCATTAGTGGCGATCGAAAATGGGTTGCACGGAATATGCTGTCCTATCTTAATTGAACTGAATATGAGCACCAATTCTATTTTCAACCGACATCAAAAAAGGAGGAGGATTTCAATTCGGTTGTTTTTAGGGTTTCGTACTCAAAGGGTAAAATGGGACCCTATTACTTAGACACCACTGTCTGTCTGTTCGTCTGTCACCAGTCTGCACCTTATAAACCGTGATAGTTAGACAGTTGAAATTCTCACAGATGATGTATTTCTGTTGCCGCTATAACAATAAATACTAAAACACAGAATAAAAAAAATTAAGTGGGGTTTTTATTTTGTTATAATGTTACGGAACCCTTCGTGTGCGAGTCCGACTGGCATTTGGCTGTTTTTTTTTATTTCGCGCCTCCCTAGTGCTTATTCAAAACGTACGTTTATTCGATATGTCGTATGTATATTCCAGGTGTTGTTATAATCTGCATAATGTGGCAGCTCATAAGCTTGATTAAAAACGTATTACGTACGCTGTCCAGTTCAAGATACCTTTATTTTAGCGAGCCGTAATTTTTGCAGTCTAGTGTATTTAATTGGATTATGTGCTAATACATTTTTTCAGTTTAATTATTTATCGAAAGAATTTTAAAAACTTGAATTAATTTCAGGTCATTTAAGTTTCACCTTTTATTATTATTTGTTTATTATTGGTCTTTACAAAGAAAAGGAAAGATCAAACATTTCGATAAATAATAAATGGTGAATTATGGCTAGTATTTTAATTAATTTAATCTTATAATTTTCAGGGATGTCTCCTATGAGTTTTTTTTTTACATTTGATCCGGAACGAATTTGTTCATTTATAAGTTTGTCATTTGTTTGTGTTGCTAACACATTTCACATTTAACGAATCACCCTGGAGTTGTTAAATATTTTGTCAATGAGTTAAAAATTGAAAAACATGACTGTAACATTTTTATTACAGTTAAATATATATTTTTGAAAATAAATATGGTTAGTGATTCGAAGGAATGTAAGCCTTCTGTTAACTTCTGTATCACAGTTAAAAATACATCTCAGGGTCTGAAAATTGCTCACAAATGGCCAAATTCTTAAATGAGCCATGTTGGTGTAGAAAGACGTCAGAGCTGGTCCTGTTTTTTTAAAGGTCGATGATACAAGCACAATCCGACTAGCAATTCGAATAAGGTCAGTATTTCACACTAACTACATAAAACGTGACGAGGCATCGTCACGAAAAACCCATGCCCATTGCCCAATACTCATACGTCACGTGATGTTAGATGCCAGCTAAATAGAAAGAAATGGATAAAATATTATTGGCGAACAAAAGTTAATATATGTGTAAATATTTATTGATAAATTTGTAATTCGACATACGTTAAACAGTTGTAAAAGTAATGAGTTCGATCCCCGGTGCCGGTACAAATGAAATTGGCAATTTTGAGTGTTGACTTGTCACGTGCTCAGTGGCGAAGGAAAACATCGTTAGGAAACATGATTTACGAAATAATAAAAAAAATATTTTGAACATATGAAAGTCCTCCAAGTGGGGTCGCGTGGTGGACTATGCCCTAATGCCCTCTGTACAAAGGAGGTCTTTGCCCAGCTGTGGGACATTATATATGCTGTTACTTTACTTTAACTTTTTTCGTTCTTTCCGTTGTATTACTCATGACATCAGGATATTGTAAGATACATTTATTAAAATAATTCCAATTTTATTTCTCCTCTGATTTTATGTTCTTTACACGCCTTATCATTAAATAACTAAGCTTATAGATTTGAAAAATATATACCTAACATACGCACTCTGTACATACGCACTTATAAGAATTTAAAAGTCAGTTGTGGACAGCCCTGGGTTTTCAAATATGCCAGACGATAACACTGTATTGCGTGACGGTGTCCATTACACGACCGAGCAGCGCCGTAACAGCACGAAGTGAACACGCCGTGAACAATTGATCGAAAGTTCCGACATAGTCCCAACAAAATATACAAACTCGTCTCATATAAAACTATATAGTGAGTGGATAAAAGCTTGTACGTGAGCTGCGGTTAATTGGAGATTTGAGTACGTATGAAAGAATCGTTTTCGATCTACCTTTTATTGTTTTTTTAAGCATATTGTCATGGTCTCGTCGGTACTTACTGTTTAGGAATATTTGAAATTCGTGACATGCATGTACAGTTGACACATAGAAATTATATTTAAAAGCGCACGACCTTACAATAAAAATGGGCAAGGATGTCCGTAAAATAATTAATGTGTTTTATTGTCACGGACTGTGGAAAGTGGCGATGCTATACATAGTTAGATTGTTCCAATCCTTCACCGCTCGTTTTAAGAATGAGACGAAACTCTTAGCTCGAATATCGAGAACGAAGTTATGATACAAACTCGCAATCGTCAATTATGTATGCTATGTCGATACTATTTTACCATGGTCCCTGGCTATATTTATCTGACGATGACGAATGCTTGTCGTATATTAAGTACTCTTTTTTCTTCGAACTATCAAACTTTACGGCCGGTTTCCGACAATTGTTGTCATTGCACACTATATTACTCACGCAGATCCATTACTCAATAAAGATATCTCAATGAAGCTCGTAAAAACATAAAGAAATATATAGTATCAGAGCGTTCGTATCTGGTCTTTTTCGGATTTGTTTCGTGTATTACATTTGAACAGTCTTATTTTATGTTTAAACCTGTTTTCGCAAACATTCTTATCATTAAATAAGAATAATTATAATTTTTAACAAAAAAAAAACCGACTTCAAATCGGAAACTAAAAAACATTGTTAATACCTATAACATTTGAGGATTGCCCTCGATTTCTCTGGGATGCCATCATCAGATCCTGGTTTCCTTATCTTGGTACTACCCTTGGGATATCTCCTTTCCAACAAATAAATAATCATCAAAATTGGTTCATAAACGACGAAGTTATCCGAAAAAAAAAATATATACCATCGAATTGAGAAACCTCCTTCTTTTTTGAAGTCAGTTTAAAAGGCATATATTTATCATTTAACGAGAAATTGTCTAGGGAGTAATTCTTGTTGAGTGTCATGGAGTAACAGGAGGTTTTTCGAATGAAATCCCGGACACGAAATACACCGAGATTGGGAACAAATACTAAAAATACTAATGGTAGTACTTTATTGTGGTAGGGCCACGCAGCAGCATCGGCTGTTGCACGAATGGGCAGGCTCGTCCGGGTAATTACCACGACCTCACAGAAGGCCGGCGTAAAGTGGATGTATGGCAAATACTTTAGAGTTTCGTCTGGTGAGTGAGGTTGCCGGAGCCCAATTTTTAAAAGGTTGCCAACGCATCTGTAACCTTCGGGTGTAGCAGATGCCCATGGGCGGCGTTATTCACTTAACGTCAGGTGAACCGCCTGCTCGCTTGGCAAATTTCACATAAAAAAAAGAAAGAAAAACTAATGGAACATACAAACTATCTTCCCATTGTGGAGGATTGGAAGCAAACATCACAACGGGCAATGGTAATTGGCAAGCTAAATCACAGGTACTGCGCTGCCACGAAGTAAGACTTAGTTTTATGAACGATTGAAATACATATATAAAATTTTTCAAAGTTGTGTAACCGACTAAAAAAACGTTAACACTTACCGACTGAGTCAATACAATTTCAATACATTTAACAACTTATCTGAATAAGAGAAATCGGTTATTAACCTTAACAGGTACACATAATAATGATGAGATTGCTTCGTTGTAGAACCCGAAAAGTTTAAACAAAAACCTGAAGACAAAGCGTCTGTAATATAAAACTAGAGCAATAGAAACTATTACTGTAACAATAGTACCGCGTAAGTGTAAGTAAAAACTTAGCACATACCTAGATGTGTTTAGACCAAAATGTATGCAGGATTACAACCAGACCCTTACTTATAACACCATCGGACCCGACAGACATCCTGTACACACGGATCCGGACACTTAAATCCGACAACAACTTACAAATAAAAAAATTATTGTAGTGGAACTAATTGTGAATCTAAACCATTCTCGGATCGTCCTGAAGACACACAAAAAATTTCATTACAATCGGTCCAGCCGTTTAGCAGGAGTTCAGTGACATACACACGTACAGAAGAATTATATATATGTAAAGATATGTTATCTTATCAGAATTCCAAACTGAGTGAGTCAAATGCCAGCGATTGCCAAATCTGGGTGAACTCGTAACCTAGTTTATTATAATCGTATGGGTGTTTTCCCGCATGGTGTACAGCTTTTAGTATGTTTATGGGACGGCTGAGTGGCCCAGTTGTAGAAATACGAGGCCGAGTTGGGCAACGCATTTTGGTCTTCTAGGTAATATCAAAAAGGTGGTGTGATGAGAATGATAAAAGATTTTTTAGCATCTGCATTTCAATATTATCGATCCTACGATACCAAACTATCATATGCAACAACATAATTTTAAAATGCACAGTTTATTAGTTTATTGGAAACTACTACTTAACGAGATCTTGCTTGATATCGAGGTGGTAAACACCAGTCTATAGAAAACCTACTCGGGGCAATAGTTACGGTCGATGACGCAAGTTTAGCAATAGGAAGTCTCTGAACTCACATTAGTGCGGCCGTCGCAGAATCGGAACAAACGGAGAAAATGTCGGCGAAAGTACCAACGATTTAACTTCCCTCCTGACTTCCGTCGGCTTATTAGGGAACAAAAACCGCGCTCAACTTAGACTTCTTCAACTTGCAAGTCAAAGATCGTGAATCGGAACATCATCGGACCTAGCGGAATGCTCTACAGGAAAATCTCGAGCCATCGCACACTACCTACTGAAAGCTTGTCCGAAATATGAGAATAGCCAGCCAGCTAATCCTTGAGACTTGAACTAACTAATTAGTTTTAATAGAGCTTCACTAACCTTCTATGACTCCGAAAAAGCCAAATGCCTAGTGGACAACGTAGAGTCACAATATAAGCCAGTACGCGATCCAGTTCACTAGGCAAAGTTGAACCGTTTTATCTCGAAAATAGGACCTCGAATTAAACTCCCTCGACCCATGATGGGGTCCAAGATATCTTTCAAAAACTGCCCGGATAAAATAATTGTTAAAGTTTTAAAAACGCTTCCCTGGCCCACTTGTTTTTACGGGCAATCATTTGCAATCCGCTTCTGTCCAGTTGCAACTGCACAGGCAAGCCACCAGCTAACGCTCGATAAGCCTTTTTAATTGCTTGGGGTAGATTTATGAGCGCATTCTTCTTAGCAGGGACTGTGCTTATTCCAACCACCTAATTCCTCCTGATCAGTTCGACCGAATTCGAACCTCTAGTCCCGAACAGATCTTTCACTCGACGCAGTGCATCCTGAAAGACCTCAACTAACCCAAACATATTTCTACGAGACCTCTCTTCTTGGATGTCGCAAAGGCATTCGACAAAGTGTACCAGGTCTGTCACAACGGCTTGTTTTACAAGCTGTTCGCACTATTGAAGTCCTTTTTTCTTCGAGTAGATGTCATAATTGTGCCCTCTACTCGAATAAATACATAAATTTACATTAAAAATTGAAAAGTTCAAAAATCGAATGTATAAAAATCTTTCATTAAGTACATGATGAATTGTCAGTCATTTTATTATACCCCATTATTTAAGTGTTTTTATCATTATCATGTTTACATTCAATCAAATATTAATCGAAAATCGTTATTAATATTTTTAGAAAATATGTTAATTCTATACTTGTCAAAAATATGCTACACATGACCCCGCATATACTAATTGCCATTTAAAAGGTAAACTGACACAACCCGGTATCCCTCGGTAGTCCATCAAATACCGTATATGTTAGGTGTAAAACGTAATCAAGAATATCGAAATAGTGACATAAAAATAACATTACATTTGGCTACACGGCATATAGACGTGTACACGATCAAAGTTTATAAATTAGGATACTTGATAAGGGTTTGTTACTACGCCAAAGCCTGTTTAACCTGGGTATTGATTACGGTAACAACTTGTTAAATTCTAAACGTAAATCACATGACACGTTTATAGATAAAAAAATAATAATTTTGGACAAAAAAAAAACGATTTCAAACAGGAAACTAAAAACAATGTCAAACACTTATAACATTTGAGGATTGCCCTCGATTACTCTGGGATACCATCATCAGATCCGGGTTTCCTTATCATGGTACCACCCTTGAGATATCTGCTTTCCAACAAAAAAAGAATCATCAAAATAGGTTCGTAAATGACGAAGTTATCCGCGAACACACATAAAAAAAAAATATGGAATTGAGAAACCTCCTTCTTTTTTGAAGTCGGTTAAAAATATATAGCGTGTCGTTACCAACGCGACAATAAATGAACACACATATAGGGGATAACTTTTTAAAGTTGTATTAAACATTTAAATTCTTTAAACATCAATATTTACAGAGTTATTAAATTTTCCAAAACAAAGAATTTTAGAACACCCTTTCCTATAAAAGCGTAACGTAAAGTTCATTTGTAAAGGTCACAAAGCATATGAATGGGTTGAATGAATTTAAAAGAGACAAAACATACTGCTAGAAGGAGAGGCTTGTAATGCGACGCTATGGCGCGAGTTGTATAGGATGTTACAAATTTTGTTTCTTTTTTACTTAATTAGTTTGTTTGAAAAATATATTTTTTTTAATTATGAATTTTGTTTTACGTTAATATTTTTTTATGATTATTGGCAAGTAGCGTTAGACGTGTGTTCATTTATTGTCGCGATGATTTAATTACAACAGCCGTCAGCCGTAGGCCATAGGCAGAGGAATCTAACTAATCAGCATAAGCGGAAATGTCAGTTTCCAGGAGCGCTGATAAATTTTTGTTTAACTCGATAACACTAAAAGCGAAAATATAATTCGACAAAGTTTATTTAAGAAGACATATTTTTCAACGTTCGCGGGGTTGTGTAAGCTGTAATTAAAGCGTAGTCACCCCAGGGCCCAGAGTGAGGCACGTCGTGTATTAATTTTAACCTTGACAATCTAACAGTAAGCGAGTGTGCGTCACTCAATCCGCCCGCACCCCGCGTTTGTGCCGCATCGTATTATTAAGTTCTGTAAAGAAAATATCGATCGATTCTGTTGAGTCTTTGCGTCAAATGCCCCGGCAAAAACGTCACTAAATTGTGTGTTTACTATTTATTTTGTGTACTTACATAACGTCAAAAGTCTTGTAGCGCTTTCCGTGATATTTTGTGTTTTCCGATACCACTGGTCCTTGTGTTTTCGTTTTTTGTAATGCGCATGTGCGGCATAACTCGGCGAATTTGCGAACGCCGGTAGACCTAAAGTGTGCCGGCTTGTGCAGTGACCTCCAAATTTGTCTGGATTAAATAGTGACGTAAAGGGCGTTACAACAGGTGTGTATGGATGACACAAGATCATATTTTGTGTAAAAAATTTTGTTTCTTTGCTAGATTATGTTATCAACTTTCAACTTAAAAGAACAACAATTATCATGTACAGATGATCTTAGGTTTCTGTGTTTAATTTGTATCGTTTCATTTTTATAATTATACACAATAAAAATCGTGTACCAGCGTAGTATTTATAATAGGTTACAATGAAATGCTGCTTTAATTAATATACGGAAATTAAATATTTAAAAAAAGCTTTTGTTTACAAATGTTATCATGTGTCCTTTGCAATTTAACTTTTATATGACACAGTTTTTACGATTTAAAATTTCAAATTTGGTTAGCTTTGCCTTTGGTACAACTTGCTGTGTACTAACATGAGATATATCTACATAAATGATGGTTGTCATTTCAGTCCGACTCGCACTTGGCCGGTTTTCAGTTTAAATGTTATTTTTTGATGTGTATATTTAAAAAGGTGACGTTTTTCTATCGATTAAAACAATTTATAGATGTAGGAGAAGAATATGATTTAGATTATTCAATGTCTAAGCATTCATATTAGGTAAGTACCTACCTATTTTTATATAATCTCTAGGGATCCAGTACTTGACTCGATCGTAGTATTGAGATAAGGACTGAAATTAATATTTATATTAACTACATTTTAGGAGATGTACTTGTTCAGCTATTTTTTAAAAGTAAGAAATTATATTTCTTATTTGTAAAGTAGAGGATGGTGGAAAATAAATTTAGGTTCTCATCTTTTAAATTGATAAATCTTTTTATTACAGCATACGACGAGTTTTATTTTATTATATCCATTATTTAGGTGTTTTTAATATTAAAACATTTTTCGAAAAACCACTTTGCGGTTTACCGGGGAGTCTCGTGCAAACGCGTCAAATATTGTGTTTCCAGACGTTTGCCTGGAAACACTATATTGGAAACGTGTTTTGTAATTATTAAGAATTGTGAGTTGAGAGTTGACAGTGTACGGGCTCAGTGGTTGTCTGTTACATGACATGATATTCGTATACAAAATTTTTTGGGAGTTGAGAGAACTGAGAACCTATTGTTTCAAATAATGATTGTTTCTTCTATGTTAGCTTATTATCTATACGCAGACCATTCGTAACAGTACTGCAAAATGTAAGTTTTTCGTAAATGTTGCCGAGATAAAATTTCATTCGACTTTATAATGTAATGTTACTGATAAAGAATGATATTATATACAAATAAGAGGTAGACATGACACTAGCACGCTAAAACTGAGGCTCTCAAATTACACCAAATTGTGTTATTAGATTGCAATTCTATAGACTGCTTTCTCTTTCCGTGTCACACGTTCTACATCATGTGTCGCATTCACTAATATATGTTATAACATGTGAAGCGGAATAATTTCTAATCGTCACGCAGTATGGACATGCGTCATCTATATTATTAAACATAAGTGACTGATAAAATACCATAATAATTTTAGCCGTCGCTAAACTGACGGACGACTACTTTGGTCTTGTTTATCTTTTGCAATCGATTACGATAAGAGATACCTCGTATCAGTGTAGAGTTGTGTGTTGTGAGTGACCGTACTTGCTTTCATAATTTATATCGTAATTTTTTTTCAATTTGCAGGTACATGCGAACCTATTTATTTGGGTGGGCGCACAAATGACCGTCGATACGCATCAGTTGGGCAATTGCCTGAACATGACGCCGCCAAAATGCCTCAAAACTCGCTGCGTTGCCGTTTGGCACCGATTGTGATCCAGCAGAGCACCTTCAAGTTCTTCCTCCTGGTCGTCTCGATCAGTCTCGTCATTTCCATATTATTCATACAGCTAGTGAACAGGGAGAGCTATTTGCCGCTCAACGAGAGTCTAGTGGACGAGGCGTTGCAAAATGTCGCGCGTGACTCCAGGTATGCTGAGGTGTACAGGAAAAAGGAGCGTCTGTCTAAGGGGCTTAAGTACATTCTGCTGTGGACACAGAAAGACTACGAGCCGCTGTATCAGCTGGGCGAGGGGCAGCGGGCGTTCATCAAGAACAACTGCTCCGCGATAAATTGCTACGTCACAGATGACAGGTACTTCTTCGACGGTGACGTCACCGGGTTCGACGCGGTGGCGTTCAACGGCCGCAACATTCTGCACATGAAGAGGCACCAACTGCCGGCGGCCCGTTCCCCCCACCAGAAGTACATCTACTTCAACATGGAGTCCGCGGACAATTATCCCGTGTGCAGCGAAATATTTGACGGGTTCTTCAACTGGACGGCGACGTACAAATTGGACTCGGACATACCGTTCCCGTACATACAGATCAGGAATCGCGACGGGGCGGTCGTGGGACCGAAGCGAAATATGAAATGGGCGGACAACCAGCAAGCGCACGAGGATTGGTCGTTTGCACACAATAAAAGTAAGGTCGCTGCGTGGTTCGTGTCGCATTGTTCCAGCAGGAGCGGTAGGAAGGGTCTGGTGTGGAGTTTGCAGAAAGCTTTGCGCGATTACGGCCTCAGCGTAGACGTATATGGGGACTGTGGACCGTTGAAATGCCCGAGGGAAGCGAAGAAGACCTGTGAAGATATGCTGGAGAGGGATTACTTCTTCTACTTGTCTTTGGAGAATTCATTCGCCGAGGACTACGTTACGGAGAAACTCCTGACGGCGCTCCAGCATGACACGGTGCCGATTGTGTTCGGTGGCGCGGATTACTCAAGGCAAGTGGTGTAAGGATAATACAAGTTCTTAATTAAAAAAGGATAACAAAGTAATAATAGGTTTATTGATAAGGGCCGAATAGCGATACAGCCTTAGATGGTAGTAGCAGTCCGTTTACTACCTAAGGTTGCGTTTTAGACCATGCCATAATGTAACCCACAATATACTCGTTTAATGATGTTCTGGCTGAATTAGTCTACACTTTAACTGTAAATGAGCAGGCTTGTCCGGCAAAGTACAACGGCTTCTCAGAACATTCGGGTGATATGGAAGTATTATACTTTCGCATGTCGTCCGTTGAGCGAGGTTACTGGGGTACTGAGGGTACTGGTTACTGAGGTACAGGGCCAATTTTCCAAAGGCCACGAAACGCAACGCCTCAGGTATTGTAGATCTTCATGGGCTGGAAAAACACACAATTTTGAATAGTAGTACTGCCAACTGTCATTGCGTTGCAAATATCGGTTGCAGCAGTGAAAGCTTAAATTGAACTTATTAGTCATAGTGGGAATAATACAATAAGATACTGGGAAACGTTGGCAAAACCGCAACGTTAACTCCTGGTAGCAAACGTTTGTTGCGTCTAAATTGGCTTATTTACGTGATCACTACCGCCCATGAACATCTGCAACAGAGGCCGTTTCCGGCCTTTCAGTAAAGAATATGTTCACTCCTTGAAGGTTCCCAGTTCGTAACGGTCCGTTTGCTTGTGCCACCAGGTTCTTGCCCCCGGACAGCTACCTGAACGCTATGACGATGAGCGTCTCAGACTTAGCGCTGACGATGGCGCAGCTGACGCTCTCGCAGGAACAGTACAGTCAGTATTTCCGTTGGAAATCACTGTACACGTACCACGATCCGTCCACATCGGACAACGTGTGCGCTGTCTGCGCGGCCCTGAACGACCCGAGTGTGATGCGACGGCAGACGCTTTATGAGGACTTCAGGACTTGGTGGAACCCCAATTACAGGGAGCGGTGTTAATGTTTATTTATTCCTTTTTTATGGGAAAAAAGCGGCAAACGAGCGGCTCATGCACACCTGCAATACCAGGGGTCTTACAAATGCGTGGTCGGCCTTTCAGGAAAGAGTATGCTCTCTTCAAGGTTTCCAGGTCGTAACGGCTCGGAAAGAAGGCAGCTGGTTCCACAAAATCTTGCTGTTGTGGAACGCTGGACATCGAGGTGGTATGGATATTGTTGTGACTTTCAAGTTTTATCCGGATTAACAGCATAAACGATATGTCCGGCGACCCATAGGGTTTAAGTATTGTTCATTGTACAGATTTTTTGTCACCAAAACCATAAAAATTGTGCGGCTGTAATTTCGACTGTTCTATACTAGGTATTACGCATTTTTAAAATGTTGGCATTTAAAAAATTTTAAGACCACAGACTTTTGATTGTTTATTGAGCAGTGAGTTTAGATCAGATTTCGTAGTCTCTTTGTGATAATTTTTTGATATTTATCTACTTGAAATAGTTTATATATCGCATGCGTTGATACCTCTGCACTTCTGCTGGGCAGAAGCTTATTTTTAAATATTTGTAAGGTTTCTTTCTGATTGTGAACACAATTGTTCTAATGGATATAATTATTTTTCTACGCAATACATATATACTATTTATTTTAGTAACCAAAGCACAAATAATAATATCACTATATTGTTAAGTTATGTATAATTTATCGTTTGAGGTTTTTTAAAAATCAAATCTACTTTTGTAAACTTTTTGCACTATACAAATAAAGCCGTTATATGTTTCTATTATTTTTTGTTTATATTAAAAAACTTCATAATGTTGCGTTGGTAGGAGTTTCGATACTGTAATTTCTAATTAAACAAAATAGTTTTTGTAAACGAAACTGCATGGACGGCGGTTTATTTAAAAAGATATTTTTGTGTTTAGACTATAAAAAAATAACCAATGATTATTTTATATTTATTTTATTCTTGGGTATGTCATGTGTTCGTGAAAATGCGATATCGTGAAGTTTATAAATTAGTCAAGATAATTGAAGTTATCATTAAAATCGTCTGAATGAAAATGAATATAATGAGGATTTAACATTTCATACGATAGATTTTCCTTTGTTTATTTTACTTTTAATGTTTATATAGAATTAGCTGGAACGACAGCAAAAAAATAAAAAACTTTGGCCCTTAATTCTATCTACCTTTCGATTACATTGTTTTTCTTAAGTTGTATAATCAGTAAGTTACTAGTGTTTTGTTTCCTTTCGTCTGAATAAATTTAATCTCATTTGTATTTAAGTGTATTTGTTGTTCGCTCATGTTACCCGGCGTATTCGTTACGTGGAATTGTTGTATGTCTAAATGGTATAGCCGTTTGCGAAACAGAAAAGTATTACCTTTTGTTAAGTTTTTGATTGACACGATAGTTCGAAGTCCTTCAAACGTGGTCCCTATCGTGGGCGTCCAGTGACCACAAAATGACATCAGTTAGGTAACAGTCGCAGTAAACAAGAGCTAACTCGAAATGAACATTAACAACGTGTACCTTATAACATGATCAGTGATCATATCGAAAGTGAAATATAAATGTTTCCATAATTTCCTTCTCACCTAAGTCATACCTAATTAACCGGCCGTCACAGAGACAAGAATTAGCACGACACAAAATTCATATATTAGGTTCTGAGAAGTTCTGTCTTAAATATTTATAATCGAGCTGGTAAAGCGCTTTCTGTCTTACAATCGCTTAAAAGGACAAGGACAGAAACATGACATCACAAGAATGCGTCAACTATTGTTAAAGTTCCTAGGACGCGTTCACATAACGTTGCCTTTTCCTTTTAGCGCTTTGAAATATTGTGTTTTATATTAATAATGGCAGAAAGAAGTTCGAGGTAAAATAATGATTGGATTTAAATGATTGTTATTACGGAAACCAATTACATTGATTGAATATTAAATCGAAAATATTCCAAATTTTATACGCGCAATTTTAATTACGTACTCTTGTACAACCAGCATTTTTTTTCAGTACAACTCTATTTAATAATCGCGAAATAATTATAACATTTATGACTTCTTATTTATATTTTGACATTTATATTCGTTGCGAATCGATTTCGGCCGTTGGACTTATTTGATTAGCACTATAAAGTAAACCATCACTATGTTCGTTTTGCAAAATTACGTGTACGCGTTGTCGTCATTTAACGTGATAAATGCTTCGTTGCGTCGTCCATTTGTTTCCATTGACACTCGTTTGTATTGACTATGAGGTCATCAGCTGTAATTAAAGAATATAAAAATATGTATATTTTTACTATACGTGTTTGTCTGAATTAAGGTTAATTTTAATAAAATACGTATTAGGTCTGTAAAAGGAATATAATTACCTGCTGCTGTTTATAGACTGTTATGTTATGTTATATTTCTTTTTAAATTGTTTTAATGTCATATTAACTTACCATACTACGCAACATAGATTCGATTTCGATAGTACCTAATTCGAAAACTTACGGTTTGTATTAAGTTTTCGATTGTTTATAATGGTGACGTGGTACGTCATTTTAGCGTTTAAGTTTAGTCTTGTGCATGTTTGCAAATAAATTGATGATAAGAATTTTCGTTATGCCTGTCATCTTGTACATCCTTTATTTTAGAAAACAGCACTCGTTATTTTTTAAAGGTTTTTGAATGTGTGAAATCAACCGACATTATAATGTTGAAAAACATTTCACTCTTCACTGGAATATTGATATTCCTTTTACTGAAGACATTAAGTTAATATCGTCAACAGCATTTTGAAGAGTTATGCTTTTTGAAAATAAATGAGTGATACGCAAATAATTATTTAACTGATACTTGATTAATATCTATTTTTACGTTTGAAACTGATGTTACGAGTGATGTAAACTAGTCCACACCGCTATTCCAATGAAAGTAATTAGACCATATTATTGAAGTTAATTGGAGAGTTACTGTCTGTTCATGTTTGAGGGGACAAGTCTAAAAGTACGACGGATCTCGTTTGAAATGCAATGACAATTAATTTCTTCGTCAATGTTAGCCTGAATTTGATTTTATTTGTTAATTAAAAGAAACAATAAATTTTTAACTATGTCAATATAGAATGAGAATCGATATAATTACTATCAGTCGTTTTAATTCTGAAGTCGGTGCTATGTATCATCCGAGAATGGACATGGATGGCTGACAAGTTGAGCTGATCCCCCAAGCTACAAATAAAGGAAGACCAACAGCCGATACCTATCTATTCTTCAGTAGTTGGGGACGCCGTAACAATAAGAATATTCTGTTGACGTGGCATGTCTTAATAAGACGCTAACGCCTAAACCTAACCCTAAATATTTAAAGGTTGAGATGATCATTAAGATATGTCTTCATTAATATGTTTTTATCGCGCCCACTTAGAAGCTTTTGTCAACACTTTTTTGTATTTATACTGACCAGCTTAGCCTGCCTCACGTATTTTTAATTCTAAGCTGTGGTGTATTTGAAAGTATTTTTTGTTTTAGTTCGTTAGGTACTTGATGTTTTAAGGTTACAGTTATCATTATTGTTGTCGTAACGAATATTTGTTGTGTCAATAACGCCTTATCTTAATGCGTGATAATATTTGTCGGTTACACTGGATGTGATTCATTTTAATTAAACACAGTTAATTGTTAGCAATCTTTTATTTTTACCCAAAACTAAACTAAACTAAATTCGCGTAATTCGCGTGGGGAACTTTTATTAGGTTTGTTTTAGCTTGCACGTGATCCCATAAGCTCGTTGATTCGTCAGAGATTTCCAACCTCAAATGAAACAGATGTATACTGAAGTCGGTTTGTCTTTTGCTAATAACAATGTTCTTGCGAATCAGCCAGCGATCGGACACTGAGCTACTTTTGCTTTTCTTTCAAGGTATAGCGTTTATATTTAATTTTCTGAGTGTCGAAAAACGAAATCTCGCGCCTTTGATGTTGTGATCTGTTTGCGTAGTCTCTGCTCAAATCAGTTTTATGTTTAATTATCTCGATACAGGTCAAAATCTCAATCTCATCATTTTTCTCAAACATGATTTGAGAAAAATTATGAGACTCTTGACTTTACTCCTGACTCGATATTTTACTAATGTTATGTGAGGTTAACATAGCGGGCTGAAGAAGTACTATGCGAAGCTCAGAAGTACTATGGCCTCATCCGACAGCTTCTTAAATTAACAGTTAAATTGACAGTTTGACATTAGCTAACAGTTCAAACTGTAACTTTTATTAAGATTTAATAAACGAAATAAAGTCGTAGAATATAATGAAGTAGAAAAAATGTATTAGTAAATATATGGTATAATAAGTTGTCCATAAATATAGTAATGCTGAATAAACTTCTCATAAGTTCTTCAGTCGCTATTTTCCTAACAACACAACATTGCCCTTCCGTCCTTTACCCACCTAGTTGGGGTCGGAACAACATGTGAATGTTGTAAGCAATTTTTTATGACTTGCCGCCTGCCAGACGCCAACATTTCTTGGGAAGCAAACACCCAGATTCGGGTCAATTATCTGTTTCATCATCATCATCATTTCAGCCTGTTTGAGTCCACTGCTGAACATAGGCCTCCCCCACAGACTGCCATGAAGTACGATCCTGAGCCACCTGCATCCATCGACTTCCCGCACATTTGCACAGGTCGTCACTCCATCTAGTGGGGGGTCGTCCTACACTGTTATTTGTTTACACACAAATATTTATCCCGTCTGGGGATCGAACTCACTACTCCCGGCGCCGCAGTCAGTTACTTAGCAACGGCGCCACGAACTTCATAACAATATTGATACCTATATCTCACTATTCGGTTAATGTTAAATTTCAAATGTTCGATGTAAATCTCACCCCAACGACACCTCATCATAGACTATGTCGACAACCGGTAGATAGCGCTGGCCTTCCAATGAAGACTAAATCAAGATTGTATAGTTATAAAACTATTATTAAAGAACTAAAG